CCACCCTACCTTCCACCCTACGTTATCATACCCTACCCTACCCCATCCTACCCAACCGAACCCAACACCAAACACAACCCGACCCCAAAACACAACCCGACCAACCGACGGACCGACCGACCGACAGACCGACCCGACCCTATACCCTACGCTATACTTCACCCAACCCAATCCAACCCAAAACACAACCCAACGCCAACCCGACCGACCGTCCGACCGACGAACCAAACTCACCCTCTACCTCCAACCCACCCCAACCCGCCCCAAAACGCACCCCGACAAACCGACCGACCAAACCCACCCTACCCAACCCAACGTAACCCAACCCAACCTTGCCCAACCTAATACTCAACCCAACTCGACCGCCCGACCGACCGACCGACCGCGCCACGGCAGCAACGGGATGAAGAATATTTGCGCCAAATGGATGGATGGGTTTTTCTTCGCGATGAAAGCTTCTTCCGTTTTCACGGCAAGAACACAGCATCCATATTCATCCTCGACTCTTATTATTTTTGTGAAGTTGACACTAAAAAGTAGCCTCGCCAGGTCTGTCTGCCGTTCGTTCTTGATACTGCTGCATGACTTCGATCTACCATATCTATTAATGATGCGCGAGACGTGTGCTGTATGCACGGAGGGGTTCACAGGGAGGGGCCGAGATCTATCAATTAGATTAGCCAGCTACTTTTTCTAGTTACCGAAGAACGGACCATCTACATCTCCTATAATACTGCTGTACATACAGCACATCGATCATGCGTCCTTTCTTCCCGAATTACTTTTTTTGAACACGGTGAACAGCGCATGATAATGCGGTATGCATCCATCCTCAACCCTTATCTGTTTCGTAACCAGAAGCGGCCTAGCCGGGGCTGCTGTTGTTGTTGTTACTGCTGTACGACATCTCTCCATCTATCTACATGTATGTCTATCCTGTTTGTGGGAGGCATGTGCTGTGTACAGCAGTAGTAGTGCACCGAGAGAACGGATCTTTCTTCCTGCATCAATTGCCTGCACATACATGAATGATGACTCCATCGATCCTAATAATGTAGACTATGTGTGGGAGGCATGCCATGTCATGTGCCAGGCACATGAAAACCTTTTCGGCGAATCTTTTTCAGTTTTCAAAACATGAACTCTTCTTGTTGTGTAGCCAACGCAGCCTCGTGGGTCTGCTGTTGTTTATGTTTACTACTTCACGCTGTGTGAATTCTCTCTACACTACAATGTACTGCTGTAGGACTGCTACCACTATTTTATGATTTGGCAGGAATAAATACACGCAAGAATCCGTCGGGAAGCAACACCTACCTACTTACTTACCTCTCTCTCCTGACACACAGCAACCCATTTATTTTGAAACGGAGGGACTACGTACAGCAGCAGCCAGAGTTTACTCTGTAGTATAGTATACTGCTGCTGCTGCGCTGCTGCTACTGCTGATGGTGATTTGATGCTGCTAGTATTAGATAAAATTAGACCATCTGACCAGTCAGCGCTGACTGGTCAGATGGTCTAATAATATCTAATAGCTAGTGCTGGTGCTGCTGTGCTGCTGCTGCTGGATGATGATGTTCAGCTTATTATTATGTAGCAACCACCTTCCAGCACAGCAATAGCCTGGCAGCGTGAACTTCAACCTACAGAGTTTTAGATACAGGGCACAACATAATATTCAGAACAGGCAGGCAGAGGTAGGTACAGAGGACGCTGCTTTCGGTATGATATGCATGCGCATGTGCATACAGCAGTGCATACAGCAGTACATGTCACCTTTCCTTCCTTTCAACGGATGGATTTTTTTTTTTTGTGCCCCCCTCCTACAAAGTCTACTGCAGCAGCAGTATTTTCTGCGATCATCCCCCTGACTGCTACTGCTGCTGTGTCACTCATGCGCCACAATCGCGGCCGCTCTGGGCGCGAGACACGGCGTGCCGCACCTTGCGTGCCTCGGTCTCTCTCCGCGCGAAAGGAGAGCGCTGGATTGGTCAGATTGGTAGCCGTGACCTCAACTGCACAGCACAGCAGCAGCAGCGCACGCCAAAAAAACCGATTTATTATTTCACCTTTTTTCTTGTGTACCGGAGAGCCGGTTGCAGCGCCACCCCCGCAGACTCACCGCGCCATGACTGCGGCCGCGCTAGGTGCCAGACGCGGCGGGCAGTGTATTTTGTGCCTCGGTCTCCCTCGACGCGAAAGGAAAAAGCACTGGATTGATTCGTAGCCGTGAGGTTTCTATAAAACAGACCAGCAGCTGCACACAGCAGCAGCCCCCCAAAATTTTTTGTGTCCCGCTGCCGGTTGCGCCGCCACCCCCGCACGCACTCTGCGCCACCGTCGCGGCCGCGCTGCGCGCTGACGGGCGCGAGACACGGCGCGCAGCACGTTGTCTGCCTTGGTCTCCCTCCTCGCGAAAGAGCCGGAGGCTGAAACATCGAGCAGCGCGTTTTTGAAAAGGGGCGACAACAACAACGACGACGACGACAACGGCCTACAAAGCTTTTTTTATAGATACAGATACCTTTGTGGCTGTTGAGGCACGGTTGGTTGAGGGTTGTTGTTGTTGTTGTTTTTCTTCACATTAAACTCGTGTCAGTTGCTAATCCCAAAATCTAGCAAAGACTCGGCCCGTGGTCACAAAAATAAAAATGCTAAAGCCATCAGAAGATCTAAAGAACACGCACACTATTAGCAAGAAAAGGGTACACAAGCCCGAGGAGGTACACCTACAATCCCTGCAGCACGTTTGCGTGCTCACAACTGAACTACACGCCCACACACTACAATTCGACTACAGCAGGCGGCATCACCCCCCTTGTCCCGCACTTCACCAATATGAATGTTGTCGACTACAGCGTACTGCTGTCTGAAGTGCTGTCTGTACAAAATAACACCATGGTGTATGGTGCACAACAACAAGCTCGGGGCATGCAGCTGCTGTCTGAGGGTAGCAATAATGTACGATAACAGACCGCAGTAGTGACGTCAAAAATACAATACAACTGAATGGCATCCAGTGGACGGGCCGGGCCGTCATTACTGTTCAAAGCAGCAGGTGGAACACCAACGTCAACGTCATGGGTTCAATGCCTCACTCACTGGGGCTTGTAGTTCCCCGTTCTGCCTACCGCCCGCCAGCATATTTTGTTAATTTCCCTAGAAGTAAGTCTACCCATCCATCCATATAGTTGTTGTTGTTGTTGCATATGGTTGTTGTTGTTGTTGTTGTCTTCACATTAAAAACTATCTCTCTCTATATATGTATGACACAACGAATCCATCTCTATCTTTCTGTGTGTGTATTTATTATTCCTTAAATCTCCACAAGAGAAAAGAGTCTAAGATACACTATATAATAGAAGTAGTAGCAATGAACCGAGCGTCAGCGGAAGCTACCTGTATACCGTATATGACACAAGATAACACACCCCTTGGCCGATTTTCAAAGCTCGATTTCTCAACAGCAGGAAGAGTCACAGCGCCGAGAACGGCGGCGTTGGAACCGTCTCGTCGAGAGCTGTTCGAAAACGTATTGTTTCATTTATGCATCCTCTTCGTCGTGGAGTAATCGAGCTTTGAAAATCGGTCCAGGGGGTGTGTTATTTTGTGTCATATACGGTAATATGTACGTATGTATGCTCATCTGAAGTTCAATCACAGAATTGAGACGGAACATTGGCAATTTTTTGAATCTTGTCGACTACCAGGAATCTCCCCGACGGAACTCGAGCCCGCAAGACAGAAACTCACTAAAATGGTACACGAGACCTTCCCAGTCGATCTTCTTGCAACTTGCTTGTGGCTTCAACCCTCCCCCCTCGCCCCCCTGTGTGGCACCGACCTGCTCTTCCTGCCGCTTGTTGATATGTGTCTCGTTCGCCCGGACCTCTCGACTGACCGCCCGCCCCCAGGCCCCCAAACTCCCTGATCTGGAACCCAGTTTGGGGGGCGAACTCTCACTGCGGGGCCCCTGCACGTCCCGGGCCAAAAGCAAAGTGCATGTCCGCTGCTTGCTTGTGTGCCTCATCCAAACCATCACACGACGCGACAGCTGCTGGCCGTCGTGTATCTTCCTGCGGCGTGGTGCGTGATCGTTACTTCAGAGAGAGTCGTACTGCTGTGAATCTGGTGAAGGTGTGTCAGGTCGGCGGCGGTAAAAGAGACAAGAAGGTTTGTCCTCCTTTTGACTCGTGAAAACTCTTTCGGCAGGGAGCAGCAAGCCGCCCGCAGCCGGCTCCAAACAATATCCCCATAAAGTCCCGCGATCGATTTTCGACACCACGACCGACGGAGGCGGATGATCCAGCCCAACGGCGAGGGCATGGTGATGATCCGAGACGAAATCGACAGCGGTGGCGGCCCCCTGCTTAGCGAGATCGGGAAGCAACCGCAGCTGCAACGACGCATCAGCAAAATCAGCTGCGGCAGCAGCACAACCAGCGACATGGATTCTCACAGCCTGCTGTCGGGTCATGATAGCCTGGGGTCGATGCTGAGTGACTCGGGCTCGGTGTCCAGCAGCGGCGGCGGCGCTGCCAGGGGAAGCTTCACATCCGTCGACACCGAAGGCAGCAGCAGCAGCTCCGGCACCAACAAGCGTCCCCTCAGCGATGAAGAAGAGCTCCGACTGGTTGAACAAGAACAGTCAAATGGCCAACAGCTGAGGAAGGCTTGTGACCTGTGTACGAAGGTAGGTGCGAGGCAAGGTTTTGCGACCGCTTTTGAGAGCTACGCACCCTCTGCTGTGTTTTGGTGGTCGTTTTGGCTAGGGTGACGTCTCGAGAGAGGAGGACAGTAACTCGCCCATCCCGTCAAAGCGAGGAACGGTACGCCGGGACTGGTGCGCTGGCGCGGCGGATGCGAAATGATCATGAATCTTGGTCAGCATTTGAGGGGGGCACATTCAAACTCGTCCTCTGGTTAGGATGTGAAGGCGACGAGTAGGCATGGCAGGGCACAGAGCGAGCACACAAGGTTGGGCAAGGGGTAAAGATCCCCCCCAGGACACCCGCAAAATGTCGCAGAACTCCAAAGAACACGGGTGTAAATCAAACTTACTGATACACGTGATTTTTTTTTTTGGCAGTTAGTCTGGGGCAAAGAAGGGAGAATGCTGTAGACGACATGGTTTTTCTATATGGTGATTCTGCTGGTGCCTTTTTCGACACTCCACACCCGCCGCGCCCGCTCCCCCCCCCCCCCTCGTCTTGTGCTGGTTGCTGTGTGCTACTGCTATTTTTCGTGCCTTGACCCTACCGGTACAGAGGAAGCGCAAGTGCAATGGCAAACACCCATGCTCCCAGTGCATAGAGGTAAGCGAACATATGCAGATCAGATATTGTGGTGAATTAAAAAATCTTCCAGGAGGGTTGTAGTGCGTCCTCCAGAGGAGAACAGCATGTTGCCAATTCTTATGTAGGCATACAATGCGTATGTACAAAGCAAGATCTCATCGGGTGTGGGTCGCTCGAAGATGGCCTTGACGCAGCAGCCGATGGCTCGATGGCCCCACGTGCATATTTCCGCCGCCATGGTGTTTTTCATTCGTCGTCGTCATGCGCCTCTGCACATTTTGTATCGCGTCTATTTACTGCGGTACAGCAGCCTCTATATATTTCTAGCGCGATTGCCAAGGATGACATGCGAAGCAGGGGATCAACGAGGTGCCCCCTGCCGCTGTGTGGGATAGCTTTCGTCTGTATGAAGTCTGGAAGCTCGTTGTTACGATAATTATTCCCTCTGCCACGAATGTTTGGGTGGTGGTGGTGGTGGGGGGTGATCCATGGATGCTCATGCCCAAGGTTGATGGGTGTTCTTGTTGTTTCGCTGCCGTTTTTCCCTCCGAAGGGCCGCTCATGTTGCTATCGTGTGAACTCACGCGGCCCACTGCTGGGTAACTTTACACCTTATAAGAGATCCGTGGAAGGTTGTTGATCTCTTCCCGCCGCCCATGCGTTGTTTTAAACTCTGGTTGTGAAATGGTGCACACGAGTGCAACTCTGTCAACTCGCTGGGTCATATTGTAGGTTCGCGATGTATCTCCGTTCAACGTGTTTGACGCGCCGGTGCTTCCAAGCACCCCGCACGCAATGTGTTCAACGCTTGGGATGTCCCCCCTCCGTCCCCCCTCCCCCCCGATGCCTCTCCGTGTGGGCTAAGCTTTCTCTCTCCCCTCCCAACCCGTGCCTCTTTTTGAGCAGACGGGTGTACCAAATCAGTGTGCCTACAGCCCGAGGCTAAAGAGCGGCAGGAAAAAGAAGGTGTGTGTGCCGTTGTGTGCGGGCGCGATGCTGGCTCGGGAGCGCCTTGTAGTCGTTGGGAGCATGATGTGCGAGATGATGTTCAGGTGTGTTAACGTACGGTGGGCGGCGACCGTCGGGGAGTCGGCAATTTTGGATGGCAGAAAATGAAATGGCGAACGGCTACAACCGTGGTTGATGTTAGCCCGACTACTGTAGTTTGAAATCAAGGACCGCGGAGAACATTTCCCGCAGACAGCGCATACGGACAAGAAGAATATGCCCGAACTTGTTGAGCGGTGTGAGCTAGCTGGTTGCAGGCCTTTTCTCGTCGGCCATTTCCGAGCCATGGCGAAAGCGCACCTTTGATATGGTAGGTTATACATGTCACCACGAATTCGTGCCCTTATGCTTCCACATTCGCGCCAATTGGCCGCAAATTCGGCGGGTTTTCTGTCTAACTTGGTCTGTCCTACATATAGTGCGTTATGTTGGTGGTGGTCATGGTGCGGTAGCCCGCCTGGTCTACAGGTGTCCTCGAAACATTTGGATGCTCGTTAGATTATGTGTTTCAACCACTGGCTTGAAATTTGTGAGAAGCGGTTGTTCGTAAATATAGTCATATTTTGACGTGGTTGGTGGCAGCAAGGCATATGGTTGGTGAACATCTCTCGAGTTTTTTTTTTTTTTTCTTAATATGACACAACGAAACCATCTCTATCATAGAAAAGAGTCTGAGACAGATCTTTTGTTTTCTCCATGGCCTTCCGTGTAGCATTGTAGCTCCTCAGCGAAAGAGGAAGTGACGAGGGCAGAGGGTCGTACATTGGTTGACACCGTGGAGTATGCGTGGATGTCGTGCCACTGCTGTATAACTAAAGAGTACAGACGCGTCCGTAGGCACAGCACAGCTGATGTGTATGCCGGGATTTTTGTTTGTTCTTTGTGCCAGCCGTGTTGTGTCACGCGCCGATATCTCCGGGCATCTATCTCATTCCGTGTCTGGGAGGATCCCTCATGGTTCGGGGCCCGCGGTTGTGCGTAGAAAATCCCTCGTCACGACAACTCACACATGGTTGCCCTCCTCCAGCTCTTTCCTGCAGGGAGCTTAGCCGTAGGCGCAACAGGCGTATTAGAACTTGCCACCTTTGTGTATTTCACAATCCTTGATCATCGACGTAGTTCCCGCTGCGTGTCTTATTTTTTGTCTTGTTCCCCTCCGGTCGCCGCCGCGTTTCCGTTTGTGCTCCCGCCAGGTCCGCATCGACGGCGTGCTGTACGAGGAGGGCACATACGGCGGTGAGCTTGCCCTCGCGAACCCGGGCGGGGTGCGGCACAACGTCGACCCTTCCGCGGGGAGGTTCTCTGCCTCGGGAGCCGTCGGGCTCGCGGGGCACGTCGAAAACTTCTTCCTGGCCACCTACCTCCGAGACTTCAACCGTCTGGTACCCCTCACCACGGAGAGCAGCGTGACGGAGGGGATGCTGGAGGTGCTCTCCCCGGCCGTGTCTTCCAGGGGCCTGGCCACGGCGAACCCGATCAAGCAGCCGGAGTCCCGGCGGCAAGCCAAGCTTGCGGTGTTCTGGGGGGTGGTGGCGATGGGGTCGCGGATCTTGGGCGCCGCGGACGAGTCCACGGTGCGGTATCTCGGGCTCATGAGGAGCGCGCTCCGGGAGTGCTTCGACTGCAACGACAAGGAGGTCGTGCAGGCGTACCTCCTCCTGTCCACCGTCGAGACGATGCGCGGCAACGAGGCGGCGGGGAAGCGGTACCTGGACCACGCCCATACGATGCACAACGGCAACGCCATAGGGCCCGAGGGGAAGCTCCTGAGGGACCGGTCGGAGCAGGACGTGTCTCTGGACCTGGTGTTCCAGATGTACGACCAGCCGGACGGTGCCGTGAGCGGGTTCAACCGGTCGGCGGCGGTGGGGGACTGGCGCCGGAATCAGCACGCAGCCGACGGCTCGTCGTCGTCGCCCGAACAGGCACGTAGCGGCCGTGGTTCGGATTCCGGGAAGCCGACATCGGCGGTGGACCAGATGATCGCGCAGGCGGTGTCGCCGCCGTCGGAGTGCCAGAGCTCCCCGCTGAAGGCCCTCAAGTACCTGAGCACGGTGTGCGGGCTGTCCTCCGAGGTGTTCGACCCCACCAACAAGTGTGTCACGGTCAAGCAGTATCTCGCGGAGATGGACTCGGCGCTCAAGGTAATGACAAAGGAGCCGCTGTCGCTGTTTTTTTTTTTTTTTCTATGCAACCATCACGTTCCTGTTTCTCCTCCTGCTAGCTCTTGTTTTTGTCGATTTTTGCGGTGTTCTTTTTTGCGTCTTGCACCTCCCGAGCCCAGAGTCAGAGCACGGCGGCCATTCTTTTTTTCGTGTGCGTACATACGAACACGTTCTGCAGCAAGGGGTAGCTGGGACTGTTGTACCGTATTGATACGATGAAACAAACGCGTTCTTCTGCGCTCGGGTGGGCAGAATTCATTCGGCATGTATGTGCACCATCGAGATGTGTTTTGGACATAAGACGACTCGGCCTATTCATAGCGCTTCTTTGCATGCACGCGCTTAACAGCGTACCACGTCTCCCGACCCGCTGGTCGTTCGTTGTCCAAGTGGCTCGCTTGCTCTCCATCCCGACTTGACACCAGCAACGGCAAGCATCGCTCGCAGCTACACTGCTGTAGCTACCTTGCCTCGCGCGATGACCGCTCCTTCTCATGTGCTCGTTGTCCATCTCTTGGTTTTGCGGAACCTTGCACCGCTGCTGCTGCTACTGCTACTGCTGCTGCTGCTGCCGTGTCACGTTTTTCTTTTGTGAATTTTCAGGGTGCCCACTCGTTGTTCGTGGCGACCGACCTGAGCGAGTGCATCACGGGGGTGGTGATAGTCAAGATTTTTGGCGGGGTGACGGTGCTGATGAGGTCGTGGGGCCAGCTGGAGGACAGGGATATCGGCCTCGCGCAGCTGGAGGAGGGCGTCGGCTACGCGCTCACACGCCCTGGTCTCTTCACGTTCCCAATATGGTGAGAGCATGGACATGGAGCCCTTTGATGAGTACGAGGTGTAAACGGGCCACAACTTGTTTTTTGTGTGTACTTTATGTGTTTAGGGGGGGAGGCTTGTGGCCCTTCGACGGGGAGCGGATCTGGCTTAGGTCTTTTCTTCATCCAGGAGAGTGGGGGGCGTACTGTTTGTCAGTGTAATGTGGAAGGGTAAGGACAAGATGTCGTCCGTGGCACCTTCGCCCGAGGGGCAGTCGGGGACATGTCGCTTGCGCGGTTGTGGTCAGGCCCAGCGTTTCGTGTTCATAAAAATGGTCACCAAAGCACGTGGAAGTGTTGTAGAGAGAAATCTTTCTCCTGGATATGTCGCCCAAGGCTGCTGCTACTACTGTTGGCGTGCTCTTTTTTTTTTTTGGTCGTCTGGCTTGAGTTGTTGCAGTGGATTGTTTCGGACACTTTCCTCCGTTGTGCCTCTCTTTCCTCCCCTCGCTTGACCGGCACCACGTGTGTGCCTGCAGGTGGCACGCCTTGCATTGCGCCGCAATATGCCTGGCTCACTTCGGGCGCGACGATACCTACATGCGGCTGAGGGCTACGTTCAACAAGACGTGAGTTGACAGGCCTCCCTCCGACCTCTTGCGTGAGGAGACAGCCTCCTGGAGCCCGCGTGTCTTATACGCCACCCTCGGTTTCCTCCTCTGCCCATGTGCATCGCAGCGTTTGTGGATGTTGGGTGACCCCCACCCCACAACTGCTGCTCCTGCCTCGTGCCCCGCGTGCGTCCTCTCGAGGACACGTGATTGGTCAAAAGACATGCAACTCATGACCCCCTCCCCACTTGTGATATCATCGAAGGATAGATGCAGGTGAAAGGGAAAAACATTTTGAGTCACCTTTTTGGCAAAGCAGGATGGAACGATTGGCCATCGGTGATCGGTCCAATGGGAACAATGCTGCGTCCTCTCGAGGACGCCTGGTCAATGGTCTAACCGCTTAAGTATGCATAACACAAGTACCCCCCCCTTTCCCGCTTGGCGCGCAGCACCTTCCCGGGTACCGAGATACCATCGATCCAGGACTACAGCCCAGCGTCAGTTTGCCCGCAGCTGGGCGGGAACTGCCCGAAGCTGGCGTACTGGCTGCAGGTGCGAGGGGCTATGTGTGCGGAGCTGGAGTGGAAGCCGCAGTTCTCGAGGAGCCGGCTGTCGGAAGCCAGCGAGAACGCGGCTTACGCGGCGGCCCTGGAGCGGGGATGCTCGAGCGGCAAGCACAAGAAGAGCAGCGGGGCGGCGGGGTGGGGGGAGGGGTGTGGGGCGGCAGAGGCACCCAAGCAACCGGTTCCAAGTGAGTCTTGTCTTTTTGTCGCTGGTGGTGCTGCTGCTGCTGTTGAAGGTGGCCGCGAATGTGCATACCCACATAAGGGAGTGTGACCGTGCTCGGCCCGGTGTGGGGGGTGATGTTCGCGCTGTTTTAGGTTGGTTGGCTGCAGGGCTAGGTGCGTGCTCTTGAACGTTTGTTTCCACACTTGTATCGGTTTTACGCGCTCAATCGAACGTCCTAACAAGAGACGCTTACTGCTTATACAGCTGCCACATGATTCCAACCGTTCCGGATAAGCAGACGTTTCTGAGTTCCATCGTGTACCATGTGATCAACACCGCGGCCCCTCTGTATGCCCCTGTCCCGGTTCTCCCCTCGAACTGCTGACGCCTTTCCCCACCGAACCACACCATCCCGGATTAGTTTCGTTGTTTGGCCAAGAACAGCAGCGACTAGCCTCACCTTTGCGGGGAACAAAGCGTCTCCGCCACAGCCACGTCGCTGAGGGCCTCAGCCAAACCTTGCACCTCCTCGCCGTTGTTGCTGGTGATACTTGTGTATCGCGCGTCTGGTAACCGCAGAACGCCTCTCTGCCACTCCCTTGCGACCGTTTTTTTTACCAAGACCCAGTAGATCAGGTGAGCGCTTCGGACATTGCGGACGGCGGCAGCCAGCTGCGGGCGGCGCTGGACGCGGGCCTCGCGGAGATGGGAGCGCCGTTCAACGACCTCGGCGGGCTCGGCATCCTGGACGGCTCGGGCGCGGACCTCGACCTCGACCTCGGTCTCGGCTCGGAGTTCGACCTCTCGCAGCTGGAGTCGCCGGAGCAGGTCGTGGAGGCTAGCGGCGAAACGGAAACGAGCCTTTCGGCGGCGGCGGCGGCGGCGGCGGCGGGATCCCGGACCGTCGGTGCCACCGACGTTCCGGCGGCAGGAAGCGGCGGGGGGCCGCCGCCGCCCGGGGCATTTGGAGCTGCGGCCTTCAACTCGATGCAGATACCGGCGGGGCTTGTCGCAGGGAGGAGTGGGAGTAGTAGTGTCGCTGGCAGTCGAGGAGCTGGTGCGGGCGCACCCGTCGTCATCGGCGGCGGAGAGATGTCCAGGGGCCCGTCGTTTGGCATCTCGGAGCCGGCCGCGGTGTCGTCGATTCTTGGGCCGGCGGGGGCGTCGTCGGGCGGCGCTCTCTCTCGGCAGTCCTCTCTTGACATCAACACTATCATGCAGGTGAAGTTACCACCGATGACGTGTAGTTTACGAGAAGTAGCGGTATGTTTTTTTTTTTTTTGAGAGAGAGGGTTACAAGGGTTGTGGCCACTGCCGGTTCGCGTGGAGAGCATGTCTTTGCCGTTGCTAGTATTGCTTCACGTAGAAGACATCAGTTGTAGAATAGAAATGGTCCCTCTCTTTTACGCGTTTTTTTTTTCCTTTTTTCGCGGCATTCTCCGCTGTCCACCTTCGGCTCGAATCGAACTTGATCACTTCACTGCATCGATTGACTTTTTCTGTGTTCCCTCGAATTTGTTCGGTATTGATGTTGTTGGTGACGGTTTTCGCCCTATATACCCCTCCCCCCGCCCCTCCCAACCCCTCTCCTCCCCCCCTCCCCTCTTCCCAATCGAACTGCAGATGGTCACGTCCGACGAGGAGCTGAGGAAAAATGAGGGCGGCACACCAGACGCCATCGACCACGCGCTGGAGTACGGAGAAGGGCCCGCCAAAGAAATGTTTGGCATTGATTTGTCGATGACAGAGTAGAGTTGCCCTGGGGGACGACGTCCGTAGGAAGAAGTGCGATTGTAGCAACCCTCCGTTGCCGTTGGTTGGTCCGTTAGTGGCGGGAGGTGTCTATGCTTGTCTGGTGCTCGCAAGTTCTACTCCTCCCCCCGTGAAGCTTGATTGTAATTTTGTGCTTTCGTCTATGTTCGGTTTGGTCGTCACGTGCGACGGCGGGAGGTTGGCTATCTATCGCCTGTCGCCGCATGGATGCGCGAGTCCGTTTCCCGTTTATATGTGTGTTGCCTTGCTGCATTCACGCCAGGGCTCGACGGATGGCCTGATGTCAGAAGGGAATTCGGGCGTTGTTTTACGTGCGACCGTACGAGGAGCGGTGATTTCAGGAGGGTAGATTTATTCTTGTTGTTAAAGAGTACGTGTGTATAGACGTTTTTTTTCCGTACTTGCAAGGATTTTATTGTGGGATTTGTCTCTTTTAATGATAGATGGCTGCGAACGGGAGGCCTTCGGGCGCCAGCGCAAGATGATGATGATCGTCGCGCTCGGAGCGCAGCTCGGCTGGTTGTCAACATGTAGCGTGTACCTCTTGGAAGGTACAAAGGTACAGTAGAAGTAGTTGTGTTGCCCGTGTCGAATGTGCCTAAACGTCTCGACCGCTAGATGTAGTGAGCAGACGAGGCCGAACTTGGGGAAAGCCAGGGCCGAACGGACAGGGCAGGCGTACCGCTTGGTTGTAAATAGCTTATGATCCGGTTGATTTCGTCTGTGAAGCACCGGCTAGCACCACTGCTTTGTCAAAAACTCAGAAGAAGCCTGTTGCATGAGAAGGCAGCGTGGTGATGCACGTGTATCAGATGAGTGTGTGGACCGGGCCCCTTTTCCCAGTTTAGTCTCTTACGTTGTACCGCTCTGTTGCGTCACCTGATGGCGAAGCCAGCACCGCTGCGTCGTCGAGAGCACTGAGTGTTACATCTGTCGTTTTACTGTCTTGGTCTGGGACACATTCGTATTTTGTGCTGGAAAAGGGAGGCTTGTTGTAGCATACTGCTGTAGTGATCGAGCGCGTTCAACACCACCGCGCCTGGCTTTGCACGAACAGCATTCGGGTCGGAATAGAAGCTGCACCATATCGAGCCCATCCACCGCTGGCGTAGAAATAATCCGAACTGCTGTGTATATTGCTTCTGGTAGTGCCCCTCCCCCCCCCCACGGGTGGGCTGAGATTTATCGAAAAACGAGGGAGCTCTGTTCGAAATCGATGCTCCGGAGTTATTGGTACCGCAGTACTTGGTGTTCACACCGCACTCTACACTTGCAAACTCCAGGCTTCAGCCGATCAGTACGTTGCTTCCCTAGCGTTTCGACGGAGCTCTTTCCGTGTCGAAAAACGACCGGGCGGCGTCGGTTGTCTCAAAAGGTGCCCACAGCAACAACAAGTCGGCTCCAGCACAAGTAAGCTGGTGACGTGTGGATCACTTGTTATCTGGGGATCGCATTGCTACCTGTGCCCCAACGAAGCGTAGGGGCAAGCATCCACGGGCCCCTGCGGAGCCGGGGGACCATCCAAAAACCCTGTCCCCGTCACCCACGGCTCGCACGCAAGAAGAACACGACGGTACAGGCCCACGCCCAAAATCCAGCAAAATCGTAATCGTTGGCAGATGGCGAGAGTCACCGCCGCAACACGACGGGCGGATGCCAAGTCGCCGCCGCTGCAGTAGCAGCACGTCTGTCTGTTGCACCCTCTGCAGCCCTAGGTACCGCTAACCTCCCCGTCTGTCGTCGCCGACCGCCGCCGGCGGTACGGGAATACCGCCAGGCAACGGTGGCTCTTCCTCGTCGCCGTCAGCCCACATCGCGTCCCCAGGTAACGTTGCCCCCTTAACGCCACCATTACCACCGCCCGCCTGAGCTCGCGCCTCTGCCTGGTCCTCAGATCGGCGTCGGGATTTCCGCTGGTCTGGAGGGAGCACCATCCACGTGCACTGGTTGTCCGGCTCGTCGTGGACATGGACGCCCAGCGAGGGCAGGGTTTCGTCGCGCGTGTGGTCGATCAGCTGCAGCAAATCCCTGGGTGTTGCGTCGTTTTTGTTGTCGAAACGTCGGGGTGTGCCCGAGGGGGGGGGGGTGTAAGAACGCAGCGGCGAGGGAAGGAGATCGAGGAAGCAGACGAGGAGTTTAGCTTGGCTTGGGCATGATCTGAAGCGATATTCTCATGCGCTTGTTCTCCAAAGCACGAAAACAAGCAGCCGCTGCTACACGCCGCCGCTTCGTCCTTGGGACCACACTCATGAGCATCGATCTACTGCAGACGACTTTTGAACGATGCCGCGAGACTCCGTCCCTCTCTCTCCTCCCTACCCTCTTTCTCTTCCCGACAACATGCAAACAACATCTTCACTTCGTTCCGTACGCATATACATAATCCTACCTCTTCATCAGCTTCCCCGACACCGGGTTCTTCTTCAAATTTCTCTCGAGAACATGCTTCCGCGCCATCCTCCGGAACTCCACCATCGCGTCCACGACCTCCCTCGCGGGTGGTAGCCCGTCGTTACCGACCAACCCCCCCCGCTCCCCCCCCCCACCCTTCATTTCACCGAGCCCCCCTCCCGCCGCCGCCGCCCCGGTGCTGCTTTCGCCGACGCCCAGAAGCGCCAACGTCTCCGCCGCGAAATTTCTCGCGGACACGACGGGGCCCAAGTCCCCCTGTGTCAGCTCCTTTAGGTGGGGAGAGATAAGCGCGCAGAGGGAAGCCAGGTGCCGCACCGCCCTGGGCGTGTCGAAGTCATCGCTCAGTGCGAGACGCACCTCCCTGCAATTTTCGGTGTATACGCGCGCGAGAAAAAACGGTTACTAGGTAAAGCAGCAATAACATGGAAACAGAAGCAATGATCGCAGAGTAGGGATGTTGCCGTGGAAAGAAAAACCGGGAATAACTCTGGACGCATTACAAAATAGTAGCAAGAGTACGGGACTGGCCGGTGGGGGTGGACTTGCAGAACGAACTGCGGTTACGGATGTTGCATCTATTTCCTCTGCCACCATTGGGTAGGCCCCATACCCTGCGGAGCCCCCTCACCTGCGACACGTGGAAGTCTCTTCCACTAGCCATTTCTCCTTTTTACCCCATCGGACGGCGGTGTCGGCTGGCCGGTTTTTTCTCGCCGCCCCGATGGTCACGTCCGCCAGAGCCAGGAAGCGTTGCAAGCGGCCCCTCACCACGCTGGCCTCCTCCATTCGGTCCTCGCTGAAAGTAACGCTGTTTCGAGATGCCAGCAACGCAACAGGAGCCATAGCAGTGGAAGGAGGACGAGGAGGAGGAGGAGGAGGAGGAGGAGGAGGAGGAGGAGGAGGAGGAGGAGGAGGAGGAGGAGGAGGAGGGAATCACGGCTCTCGTGCACTATCTTCGGACGCACTCGTGACAGAAACACTACGCAACTGCTGCTGCTGCAGTGTATACGAGCGACCACAGCAACAACTCCCAAACGTCAACAGATCCCCCTGTACTGCTGTACCCAACTTGGCATGGACTACAACAAAAAAATTCACCGCTGATCTTCATTCGCTTATCCGTACTTTGAGCTGTACTTGTGCATGAGGCAGAACATGCGGAAGTCCTCCGCCGCAGCTTCTTGCCCCGCCGAATGCCCCTCCAGGTACTCCCGAATCGTCACGAAGTTCTTCAGAGACTTGGACATCTTCAGTCCCTCGATGTTCAGGTGACCCGTGTGAATCCAGTGCCGCACCCACGGCTTCCTCTCGCCCCCGACTCCCCCGTCCCCTGTCGCCGCTGCTGTCGCCGCAACGCCTCCGCAGGCGTGCGCCTCGCACTGGGCGATCTCGTTCGTGTGGTGGGGGAACTTCAGGTCCACCCCGCCGCTGTGCACGTCTAGGTTGGGGCCGAACAGGGAGTGGGTCATGGCCGAGCACTCGATGTGCCACCCTGGCCTCCCTCGTCCAAACGGTGACTCCCAGCTGTTTTCGTTTTTGACGTGCCGAGATCGGGGATTGTGTTAGGGATTTGGAAATTCAACCGGGAATAGAATTTGCGAAGGGACACGCACACACCGCACAACTACAAAAAAACAGGCACTCCACGCGTCTATGCAACCTCTCCAGACTCAAAACTATCCGAGAGAGTAGGCGTTGCCTAGCATCACGACCACGTGCTGATTGCAGCGTGACTACTTAACAATACCGCCCCCCTCCGTCTCCTCTCTAAGCCTTTCCACCTTCACCTTGGCTCGTCCGCCTTGGCCGTCTTCCAAAGCGCGAAGTCCTTGTGGCTCCGCTTCCCCCGGAGTTCCGACCCGCCCTCCTCTTCGGGTGTCGTAGAGCTTGACGCCTTGACACCCAGCTTCCCGTAAGCACCGCCCATCCCCTCCACGTCGAAGTAGACGCCCCCAGCAGCCTCGTAGCCCATACCATTCTGAGCGCGACGTTGGTAGCGGTAGGGGCGGGGTGAGCCCCCCATGGCCAAGCAGAAAAAGTGGAGCGAAAAGGAGTGTTTCGGCGAGCGAACGGGGTGGCGTGCGTATGTACGGCGGAGTGGGAGTGACGAGAGTAACTGCTGAGGTAACGCCAATAGACATGTCCATTGTTTGGACTTTTCTCACGTTAGGGTCACATGTGGTAACAGTGTTCTTCACCGGTTCTGAGAGTTGGGCGACTCAAAATGACCTGACCTGTGACGTGAAACCCGAATATCAACGTCTTGCAATGTGAGTGAGTGCGTGGTGGTTGGTTGCACGACAGATCTGAGGAGGGACGCCCGTGCTTGCGGCAGACTAGTCATCGGTACATTGCATGCAGGCTTTCGTGCACATGCCTTACATGACATGTAGGGTAAATCCGTGCGGAATGAAAGCCAACGAAGCTGCACAGGAAACAAGATTTGGTTCCGTCAGTCCCTTCCGTCTGTGAGAATTAGTCGGGTGTCGGGTATCTTCACTATTGCTGAAACAAAGGAATGCAGCAAGGTGACGATATGCCACCAAGCATGACTTGGCAGTGATGAATCAAGTCAAGGCTGTCAACAAAGGATAAAAAAAAAGGAACAACACCGGGGCTTCCCACGTGTTCCCCACCGTAGTACTTCTACTACTGCTGTAGCCTGGCCCAACGGCGCTTTGCTTCACAGAGCGGACGGGATGTGGTGATGCGGTGCGATCGGCGTGATGTGGCCTTTCCTGACATTTGCTAGCTTGTGAACTGGGGGTACCATTTTTTTTTCGTGGGCGAGGGCGAGGATGGCTTGATGATGGCGATCATGATGATGCTCAGGAAATGCAGAGGCAAGAATTATCATCCCCCGATCTTGCAAGACTACCTTCTTCTCCGCATCTCCTTCTACATGCGCAACACACCGCCTACACATACATACGTACCTGCTCACATGACAGACACAAGAAGCTCGGGAATGCCTGTGTGCAACGTGCAACCTGACGACTACGACAGCAGCAGCCCTCACGAATCAACTAACGCTCACCTCGAGGATGCGCTGAATATACGCAACGATATCAGGGATGTGGTCTGTCACCCTGGTGAGAGCGTCGGGAGGCCTCACTCCGAGGTCCGACATGTCCTCCAAGAACTGCCTCTCGAACTCAGCCGCCATCTCGGCCACCTCGGGCCACTCGCGCAGCCCGTTCTCCCGAGCCCTGGCGATGATCTTATCGTCGACGTCGGTGATGCCCAGGGCGTAGGTGACGTCGAAGCGGAAGTAGTCGGTGAGCACGCGGCGGATCACGTCGAGAGACACGTAGGTCCTGGCGTGTCCCAGGTGCGCGCTGTCGTAGACGGTTGGGCCGCACGAGTACCACTTGAGCATGCCCGTCGAAGGGTCCGGGAGGGGCTCCAGGCAGCCGTTCACGGTGTTCCACACGGCGGGCTGCACAGGTGCACGGGCTGCTGTTGGCGTTGTGGCAGAAGCACTGCTGCTGTTCCTGCTGCTACCGCAGGTGCTGGTTGCAGTAGGTCTGTCGCTCGCGTCGTAGGCACTGCTGCGTCGGAGGGTTCCCATCGCTGTCGAGCTTGAGAGCTTGCGTCCGGTAGGCCTGCACGTTCTAGGCACTGCTCGCGCGAAGCATGCTAGCGGCCCCATCAAAAGGCGGACAGCGCAAGGAAGACGCGCACCAGCGAGCAGAGGCAGGACACACTGCACAGCCCGACTGTAGCCGAGGCTGCGGCAGCGGTGAGCGGTGAGTCGCGAGGAGGGGGCCAGCGTTTGGGAGGACTCATAGGCTACCCTTCTATTTTTCCTTGCATAGTTTGGCGGAGCCTCTTCCACGACAAACCGCGCCAGCCCCATCACATCCAATCTCAGGAGCAGGGTTTGACAGGAGGAAGGGAAAGCGCCAAGAGGATGGTCATTTACGCAGGGGTCGAGGGAGGGGGAACCACGTGGAGAGTGGCAATCGCCGACGGCCACCCTACCAACATCACAGAGTCCAAGTCCTTCGTGACGGTGCAAGATTCGAAGGAGCAGCTGAAAGCGATCAAGGACTGGCTGAGTACCCGAAAGTACGACTGCTTGGGCATCGGCACGTTCGGGCCCGTCGATCCCAGAGAGGTGCGTCTAGTGCGCCGAGATTCTTGAGCCGCTCTGTGTGCGACTAACCGCTCTCCTAACCACCGCTAACAGAGTATGTAGAGCTGGTGTTCTTGTGGGTGGTGTTTCGCGTGGTCCGAAATTGAACTTCTTCTCTTCTTTCGCTGCCACACGGGCGACATGGGGACTGCTGCGTGCTAGGGGTTGCTCTTCGCTTTGCCTGCGGACTCGTCGATTCTTGGGCTGCCGGTGCCTGCGTTCACTGGGTGCTTGCCGCTGCTGTGCATGCCCCAATTTCTTGTAGGCAGGACAGAAGCGAAGAAGTTTGCGCATACAAAATAACTTGCCGCACCATCAGCAAATTGACCGGAAATTACACGAAGGCCATGTGCACAACGGAGAAATTGCAGACACTCTCGCGGGCGGGGGGGGCGGGAACGAACCAGCAACCTGTTGGGGAGGAGGCGGTCAGTATCATGCCGTATGGTGATCATACTCGCTAGATTTGCGGACCAGCTTGATCCCAAAGGGAAGGTTTGCGTGTTGCGAACTTCCGGCAGTCGGGCAAAGGTACAGCGGCTGCTGAATCTACCACAGAAAACATGGAAGTGCACATGCTCGCGCCGATCGCTCCGTACCGCGGTGTATTGACCCGAAAAACTCACGATCTACTGCTGGCGCCATGACGCCATGACGCCACGACGCCCGCCGCCTGTACTGCAGGGGAGCCCGACGTACGGGTACATCACGTCGACCCCCAAGCCCGGATGGAACATGGTGGACGTGGTTGGGTATCTCTCCGACGGCAGCGTGCCGTGCAAGTTCGACACCGACGTTAACGCCCCGGCCCTCGCTGAGTTCATGGTGAGTGTTTCAACCTTTGTGGTTGTACTGTGCTGCTGCTGTGTAATGGCGGCGTCGGAACAGTTCTGGGGGCAAACGTTCTGAAAAGCGCCGCATCCGCAAGAAAGCGCACTTTCAACTTTCAACCCAGGCATCCGTGCACCAGGCAGCTTACAACGTAGAATCACACCCGACAGCTTTTAGTTGCCGATGGGACCCCTCCGCGCTCACTATTATCTCTTGTTCCGATACAATGCATGCAATGCCCGATTCATCATGTACAGCAGTAGTAGGTCGTACTCATACATGTCATGCGGTAATATAGATCTGTGGTGTTGGAGTTTGTTATGAAAGCATCGCTATGCCTATGTACAACCTGCAGTGACACGCGTGTCATGCGGTAATATAGATCTGTGGTGTTGGAGTGTGTTATGAAAGCATCGCTATGCATATGTACAACCTGCAGTGACACGCTCGGACACGTCGGGACCGTGGTAGCCAAAGCGTGTGACTGACATTCCCAATATGTATTATCTGCCATCCAACTTACACTGTTAATGTATCACCTCCAACACTTACAAGTTAGCACTGCGTGCGGATGGCACAAGCATGATAGGGTTGGGCCGCTCTTGGCAGGGTCGCGAAACATGAAAACCTTTTCGGGGATGGCCCGAGGAAAGCACTACATTTGCAACTCTCGATGCCTGTGGCTCGCTGAAATAGCGCTTCATTGCGTTTCCGTCTACTTCAAGTATAACCTGCCCCACCCACATCGTACACCCCCTGGACATTTGATTGGACCTTGGTCTGGGACGATTGGGTCCTTCTAGCAGTTGGCCGCCTGCCCCTCTCGGAATAAACACCCCAACGAAGCCCACAGGCTGCCTGCCCCCCTCAAATGCCCCGAAGATGACCCAGGCGCGGTTATGACGGCGATCATGGGGCCCACACTTCGTGTGGCACGCGCTACAGTACGGTGGAACTCGACGACCGGGACGCAAAATGATCCATGGTCGCGTTCTGTGTTTCGATAGCAGCACGTGACCCATGGATCATGTTGAGTCTCCCCGTCGTCGAGTTCCGCCGCACTACTGTAGAGCGTTTCGCACGAGGCATGGATTCGATGATCGCCGTCTTAACCGCACCTGGGTCATGTTCGGGAGAGCTCTGAGGGAGGCAGGCAGCCTGAAGACTTGTCGCATTGTACATGAACACACAGAAAGACTACCCGTTGGAGAAAAATATTGATGGGAGGGGTGGCAACTCTGCTGGGCCCCCAGCAGGAAGGGAGCCTCCCTTGTATCTTGTATCCCTTTCCTCGTATCTTGTATCCCTTCCTTCTATCCCTGACGTTGCTGGGTCACCACATTGGGGTAATGCCTCACCAATTTGCCTGGTGACTCCCTCTGCAGCTGGTGTTCGGTGCGGCTGCAATGTTCCCAATGTGATCGGTGTGCTTGTGAATGTGAAATAGTGCTTTTGCGTTCCCGAAGGCCATCGTTTTTGTTGGTTTCTTTCCTTCGGAAGTAATTCAATATTAAGAAAATATAATGGTACTACCTAAAGTTAAAACATCATATCCAAAATTCGAATGGAAAACGAAGTCGGAATAACATCGGACTTGCCATGGACATGCGTGATGAACTCATGTTCTTGACATCGAAAAACTGCAGTACATTAGTATGACTTCGGAAGATAACGGATGCAATATTGGTCTTGGGAATGAATCGATGGAGTACCTGTTGTGTGACTCCATAGGCTTGCAGCAGGCTATCGATACGTTAGGCCTGAAGCCACATGCTTGCAGCTGAACCTATCGATACCAATTGTGCTATGTCGTTTTGTATATTTTGCGAATTTCCATTAATATGGAGTATCTTGAAACGCAGTTATTTTTGCGTATCCGGATCAACACCTCATGGCTGCTACGATACATACGGTCTGCCAATATCGCAATAAAATTTTGAAATTCATGTCAATGGACGAGCGACCGAACAAGATCCGGCACAACAAACAAATCTTAGGAACCTATATTTGACAACGAGAAATGCACAAATATTATGTCAAAGCCGTTGATGCCGTATCGATACACCACCTATTGCTGTCCAGGGTGTGGTGTCCACACAGCAGCAGTAGGCTCCTAGTAGCCAAGCTGTATGCTTCGTCTCCGCTTGTTGGAACATGTACGCTGATGCACTCTCTCGACCGCACCACCACCACCCCCCCGTAATACTACCCCTCCCTGCCCCCGACGTCTCCACCGCTCTTCTGGTCTCTCTCTCCCCCTCTTTGTGGCACCACCAACAACAGTGGGGGGCCAAGAAAGAAGGCGAGAGCTCTTGCGCGTACATCACCGTCGGGACCGGCGTGGGCGTCGGTCTCGTCGTGAACGGCCAGGCTGTTCACGGCCTCATGCACCCGGAGGCCGGGCACCTCTGCCTCAAGCGCATGCCCGGCGACGACTTCCCCGGGGTGGACTCGGTGTTCGGCGGCGCTTCCGTGGAGGGGCTGGCTTCGACGGTGGCCTTGGCCGCGCGCAAGGCAAGCGGAGATTTTGTTGTTGGTGGTGGTGGTGGTGCCTTTGAGCTGTAACCGCTTGCTACGGGAACATGGGTTGAGACGCCAGGAGTAGGGGTGTAGCGGTGGGTGTTGTGATGTAGGTGCCGCGGTTACTGACCGTTGTACCTCTGACTGACCCAACTCATCGGACAGCGAATATTGCTAAGCGTGTTTGTGCGGAAAGATCGCTGGGTTTGGTCGTGGGTAACAGCGGTACCGATTCGTATGCATAGAAATGTCCGTGACGGACACCGATGGCCACGTGGCATGTCCATCCTCTGCCATGACTGTCATTCACAGTAGTTGGGCTTTTCTCTTTTTTGCGCGATGTCGTTTTTGTACCCGTTGCGGCTGCTAGTGTTTGTGGCGGTCGTGCTCATGGTTTGTGTGTTACGTTTTTGTTTTCAGTTTACGTCTAAATATTGTGTGAGAGACTTGTTCTAGGTCACTTTGTCTTTTCACACACTGCTGTACTGGTGCACAGCCAAATCTACCAAGTGGTATCTACTTAAGGTACATCTCTCACCAAGCGTCAGGGACCTTGTAGTCTCACCTCCGTGGGAGTTAGAACGCAGAGAGATAATGGATGTCAACTACCGCTTTCCATAATATGACCGTTTTGGTGTGGCTTGCATCCATCTGACCATCGTCGTCGTCCGCACAGTACGACCGGTGGGGTTGTAGCTCGCATCCGTCTTACCACCGGCGCCGTCCGCTCCTCCCCCCCACGACACGCACAACTCAACACAGAACTGCGCTAGGGAGGACCTTCCAGGCGTGCCCGACAGCGACCCCGTCTGGGAGGCAACCGCCCACTCGCTCGCCGGCCTGTGCGCCAGCCTTGTCCTCGTCGTCTCCCCGGAGAGGATAGTCCTCAGCGGCGGCGTGATGAACAGGACGTTGCTCTACGACAAGGTGCGCGTGTAACCGCCGTTCCCTTGGCCCTTGCACGCACCGCGAGTAATGATTTTGTTCCGTGTGTGCCGGTAGCCCTCCGTGTAGGTGTGCACCTCAGCGGTAGGCTGTGTAGTTGCTGGGTTGTTGGTGAGCGCTGGATTTCTTGTACTTCATAGGCTGCTGCTGCTTGGCAGTGAGCGGGTTTGCCTAGTGGTGGGTAGCCGGTCGGTGGGTAGCCGGTCGGTGGGCTGGCGATCGGTGTGGTCCGGGGTCTTTGTTGATCGGTCCACGGACGGGGTATGCATCGTCAGGTCCCGGCTTTTTAATTCATTTCTTTTCGGAATCACGGTGCGCAAGGTCTCTCACTGTATTATGTAAACCCGCCCCATGTTGCTCAACAAAATTGCTACAGAGTGCGACCCCCGCTCCTTCCCCCCCTGCCGCTTGCTGGCCGACTGCAGGTGAGGAAGTGGACGAGGGAGCTGCTGAACGGCTACATCGACCACCCGGCCGTGACGACGGACGCCGTGGACGACTACATCACCCCTTCCTCCTTCGGGCAAAACGCCGGCATGGTCGGGAGCCTCACCCTGGCGCACATCGCCTACGAAGAGGCAGGGGGCAGGGGCGGGGGAGCCGGCTCGCCGACGGCGACCAAGGCGGGCGGGGGAGCGGCGTGTCTCGCGTCGCCCTGCAACGTGAGCGTTGCGTTGGCCGCGGCAGCTGTGGTGGGCTTAGGGGCTCTGGCGATTGCCAAGGCTTCCAAGAAGTAAACGCGGCAACGATTACAGCAGTGCAACTTTTGGGGGGACGGCGGACGAGGATTGTGCGTGGGGGTGGGGGCGTGCACTGCTGTGTTTGGCGCTTCGCTTTGGCGGTAGCGAAGGTGTGGCAGGGGCATGGTGTGGCGGCTTGGCGATCGTTTTCGCGATCGTGACCACCTGTTAGGCAGGAGCGGAGGTGGCTTGCAAGAAAGAACGGCGGGCGGGAGATTACAAATGCTGGTGTGCTGGTAGTCAGCGTGCGACCTTTGTTTATGGCGATATAGATTGAGATTTTCTTGTTGTGCCAAGCACAACGGGTGCATCGACATAATTGTCAAGTGGGTACACAGCGTGTAGCTGTTTTCGTGAGGGACATGCCACTATTAACTGCTGCGACATGCGCTGTTTACAATGTCGTTGCCGACTTGAGGAGAGCAAACCGCGGACGTGTGTGTAGAATCGTTTTGCCTCTAAATAGTGCGTCTGTCCCATATGAGCGGGGGTACCAAGGCCCCTCGCGACCTAGGTCAGCCGTACCGTACGAATACCATCTACTACTTTTTATTTAATCAAGGGTTTTGTGCTTCCACAGCGATGGCAGAGTAGCTTGGTGGTTGCAGGCGTTTCCCCATGTTATGTGATTGGCAAGTAACCTTCAAAGAGAAGAAGCGACCTTTCCCTGTTGTGCTCTCTTGTTGACCCTTGTACGATCGATCGTCGACGAGACTGACGAGTTTTCCGTCGTGGATCATTTTCGTATGCGCCACAAGAATCATCCCAATGCTGAGACAGAATACCGCGGCCCAATGTGCTTGCGTGCACACGCACTTGCGCCGTATTGTATTGGGTTCATCCGTCACAGCAACAAACAGAAAGTACATTTTGCTGGAAAGGGAGTGGGCAGTGCACACGTCGGGCGGAACATATTGAGTCGGATGACACCCATTCTCGGCGTGAACTGATGAGAGAGTGCGCAAGATGATTTTGTAGCCCTCGCACATGGTGTGCATTTCTTCACAGAGTTGTCTCACTACTCTCTACAGAAACGGCTTAGTACTCCATGCGTAACCTCATGTGGGCAGCGAATCGAGCGTCAGCGAAGAGCAGATACCGGGGAGGGTCTTATCAGCTCGTGCAAGCAACATTGCACTCAAGACTTGAAGCACCAATCAATGGTGGCAAAACTGTCTCCTGAGTAACACCTCCTTGCTTCCCTTGCCCACCTTTCATTCATTTCCGAGAAAAAAATAAGTCGGGCTCTTCAGATTTTGCCCGGGGCTACCCCCGGCCTGACGTGTTCCGGCAATATAACAGCCTGAGTAACACCCCCTTCCTTCCTTCTCTCTATGGAGACAAGGACCTCGGAAGAGGTGTTCATGTTATTAACGTTATAGGTATCGGCGTTGTTTGCCCATTTTGGTTCAGCCGTAGCGCCCCGTGTGCACGAGGAATGGCATGTGCAATGTGCACATCGAACAAAACAATATCGTTCAGGACAGGTCTAGAGGTGGGTTCGCACGCATAGGGGGCATCTCCTTATGTCCGCCCCTGCGCTTGCCGTCCGTGTCCTGACTGGCGTTTCTACGAACAAACGTTGTACAATACGCCCTTGCTGTGTGAAATCAAGCTCCACGTGTTTTCACAAAAACTATGTGCCTTGGCGCTGATATTTGTGAGGAGAACGACATGTAGTGCGTGCCATCCATAGCGTCTTGCTTCATCCGGAAGTCTTGAAATCAAGAAGAATTTATGCGCCTGGTCTGCTTGGGTCTTGAAGACAAGGGCGTCCGCCCGCAAGATTGTCACATCTGTGACACCCTCACGTGCTCTAGAAAAGAGGACCAGACCCAAAAGTTTGGCAACCTCATACCCCTCCTCTTGTTTTTCGCGCCAAATACACCTACGGGCCGAGAGCTTCGAGCTAGGGTGCCTGGACGATGGGCGCTCAATCCCAATACCGACGGAGAATCGCATCTTCCATTCGACTGCTGTTGCGGTCCTGCACGCACAATGGTTCAACTTTCAACTTTCATGCGTGCCCAAAATTGTAGTCCTGCTGCAGAAACGGTTGCCCCTCCCCCCCTCCCCCCCCCGGTTCCTTCATCACGTCTTGCCCTCTACTGTTGCCATCCCTCCCTCTTCTCTTGACATATATCAACCGCCTTCCTCTCTCTGCTCTGACTCCCTCCCTAACGGCAGCGTTTCGGGAGAATAGTTCGACAAAAAAATTAGACAGAGCTCTACAAATAGGTGGAGGATGCCGCCAGCTATTGTTTTTTGTTTCACGTAGCCGCGAGCGGCTGCTGCGCCCCCTGCCCCTCCTGCTTGGTGATGGGCAGGAAGAGCTTGAATTCCGGCGGGAGTTCCTCCTCCGAGTACAGGCGGTCGGAGAAGTAAATCCTGCGGATGCGGCAGTTCGCGTGGATCTGCACCCGCAGGGTCTCGATGTAATTCGTGCCGTACGCTCGGCGCGTGAAGTCGCTAAGGTTGAACTGGATCTGGTTCCACCCCTGGTCGGCGAGAAGGACAAGGTCAAGGTTTAGAGTCCATTCGTCAAGAGCAACAAGGAAACAACCGAGTTCTCGAATCTCAGTATTGCTGTACACGCAAACGAGGAGGGTGGATGGTGTAATGGCGGAAGGGTTCAGAGAAGGTGTGGTTCGAGGATGTCGAGGGTACGCTGTGCGTGCAGGCGAGAGCTTGAGAGGGGGAGGAGGATGAAGACTCATTTGTTGCTTGCCTCACGTCGCTTGGCACTTCAGCACGCGCGGTGGGGGGCTATTACCTATATTTCGCCTCTGTTTCACGCAAAATTTCGTGTGCGAACCCTAAGTCTCCTTCCTCGCTGCCTGTAACGACCACTGTTCCCAGGCGGTATGATAGCGATCGTGCCCTCGTCATTTACTGTTCACGAAATTCGCCCACGCTTCTGTTCCCCTCGTTTTCGAGGGACAGGGGGCGGGGACAGAGAAGGGGAGGCGAGCGGAAGGGACGCAGTGTGAGTGTATTTTCTTATTTTCGGCTGCTCACCTCATCCAACCGCATCGGCATCGTGCAGATGAAGGGCTTGACGCGCGTCGTGCTCTGGTAGTTGGAGGCGCGGAATCTCCTGCGCACGTTCTTGTCGTCGAGCACCTGCACCTCGAACGTGAAGTACTTCTTGAGGTTCTTGAGGATCATCACCAGGAAGGGGAGCTTGATCCCGAGGGTCTTGCCCGCGTCGGCGGGGCAGGTGATGAACGTCGTCGACACGTTCGTGCCCACGATCTCGAGGACGGACGACTGGATGTCCTGGTCCGTGATGCGCTTGATGTGCCCGTTGCGCACCTTCTTGTCCCATATTTGCAATGGTTTCGACCTGTATTGTGGTGTCAAGTCGGGAGGGCGGGGGGCGTAGGCAGCAGTATGAGGCGTGGGGGGCACAGCAACGCGCACTCAAACACGGTGGTAATGGTGGTGGCAGGAGGGAGTGGCGGGAATACAGACAGACTGGCACGACCCCACAGCAGCATTCATTCAAGGGGTGGGTGCTTAGTAAGCCGTTTCACATGCTGAGTGCCAACACCCGGACTCTCTCTCTTACAGCCGCAGCAGCACAAGATCACAAACGAAGCGGAGTGGCGGCATGTCAACACGTCACAACTTACCGCGCTCCCGGTTCAACACCCAAACACCATAAACAACCGTACAACCAACGTCGAGTATGGTTGAAGAGTTTATCGAGTCCTGAAACATAGTCCACTACGTTCAGGTGGAGTTTGGGTCACCGGTACGGGACCACTGCGTAGACACATGTAATGCTTGGTGGGCATACCATGAAGTGTGTTTTCATTCAGTAGAGTTGCCGTGCTGGGGATAATAACCGGACGGTCAGCATCGCCCATCCAACCAGCAACAGTAGGTGGCTTGTGAAAAGGTTCTAGTTCAACAAGGAAGGGCTTCGCAGCAAAAGTCGTAGAAGCCGGCGCAAAAGGGCCGCTCACCGCAGCAGTCGCCGACTACAGAGTACATGGAGGCGGCCGGCTAGGCGGCGGTGCTTGAACAACCATTTTCACCCTTGGGCATATAATACGAAGATCACACCCACTCACCCTATACTGTACAAGATAGACAGGAAGCCCGACTGGAAAGTATTCCGGAACATGGCTCCAGCCCGCCAGCAGATGAGCGCCGCCGCGCCACCCTTCCCAGCAACAGCAGTCGGAGCGCTGCTTTCCCTGGTGGTGCTATTACGCCGCCTATCCTTCTTCCGTACAACACACGAAAAGTGTCAGATACCTCCGATTTGTGGCAGAGCTCCTGTGACCCTAACGCGGCCGTTCGCTTGTCGTTGCTCTAAGAAGGTTTAGGGATCACGCTGTCCACGTACGGAAGAGCGCCTGTGATGCTAATGCTGATGCTACAGCGCTGTGCGCGGTAAGACTGACGGTTACACTCAGTTTTCCAGTCTCCAAGCACGACGGCACCCCCACGTTGTACTTCGCGGAGCCCCCAAAAGTTGCGGCTTCTCTCGATTGACCGGCGTCATGATATCCGTACACAACTGACGCAAACATGCGTACGGGTCCAACTGACGCCTGCGCCTTCCGCGGTTACAGGCGAAAATACCCAAAGCATCGCTCGTTCCGATCTCTGCTGGGTACACCACACTAAATAAACTTGTTGGTTGGAGTGTGAATTTGATGGCACATGATTTGCATCCGTATACAATTGTATATATTCTCGATAGAACTTCGAAGAGTAGTGTCAGAGGCTTCGCAGCAGGTGACAAAAGGAGTTCGAGAAGGGGGGTCGGTATATAGAGCCCACTGCTCCGACCCGATACACGATCCCAAAAGAAAAATACTTCGAAGTAGCAATCAATCCAGCAGCTTGCCTTCCCAATGCATAAAATTCCTACAAACTAAACAGATGCTTTTTTGTTCTAAGAACTAACTGGCATCACTGATAACTCAGTGTAAGGCTCTCTACACAAACTCAAAATAAGCCAAGTCTCCAGTCGGCTTCAATCCACTTACTGAAAAGACTTCACCACATCCCTTTCGACTGAGGTTATATCTCGAACGGGTAGTATTTACTGTGAGGTTATGTTTACTTTCTAAAAACTAAAAATATCCGAATACTTTTGGTACACTCCCTCATCATGTTGAGTGTACGCGCGGTGGAAGGGAAACGACCAGCGAGGGTTGTCTCTTACACATCGAATATGTGCTTGAAGTGGGTAAGTGTGGTGGGAGATGGCCGCGGGTCTGAACTGAATATGGGCGGGTAGGGATACCTGTACACGACTCGTCTGCACTCTACGTCTACAATTCCACGTGGTGTACAAGTCATCCCACTGGTCGTGGACCACGCGAAATTAGCGTGGTGCCAACACGCGCAGCGACATTAAACATGCCTCTGTTGCGCGCAGACTCCCCACCAAAGCCTGTCGAACACCGCTTCCCTCCGGAGCTCATATATCCCCCGACAAACTTTTCGCGTTTTTTCGCAGTGAAGGATGGGGTTGCGCCACCGCCACTACCACCACCGTCACCGTCACTACTGTGTCACTCTTGACACACCGAAAAAGCAAGCTACGACATCCTCAGATTTCAGCAGCAAAGCAAACAAAATTTTGAGCATCAAAAGCGCTACAGCAGTATGCCCCGCTCTCTATTTAGCTGCATTGGTGCGAGTGCAGCAGCAGGCGGTGATGCACGCTCACCACAAACCTCGAAACACGACCGACCGCTGTTTGTGTGTGACGCGTTGATTGAAAGGTAACGGTGGACAGTCCACGCCGCACGGAATGTTGAGAAGGGGCCAAACCTACAAAGGGTAATGTACAACGAATTACTGTCCGAGAAACACGACACCTCGGGATCCCTAAAATTTTCACAGTAAGTGAGCAACCCTTTGGGTGCACTTTGTAGAGCTACACGCGAACGGCACACGCATGGGAGATGGCAGGGCTTTGGCCCATGTGTGGCCGTGAACGTCTTCTATACACCCCTCACCCAACCGCAACACCGTCGCAGACCAATGCTGTTGATTAGCGGCGCCAATGAATCTACGAACCGCACCGCGTGTATCTTCTAAATTCGCCGGCCGATTCGCCGTATCTCAGGAATATCAAAACAGAACACGAAATAGGCATCTTACACGCACCACGGACAACTGTACGCCCCACGCACACAAGGAAGAGGATCGTCAACACGACGATGTCAATACCAAAACTACCACCACCACCAACACAAATAACAAGCCCTGCGGACACCAAGTGTCCGGATTTTTTCAAAACAGTGCGCTATACGAACCCCGAGAAGTCTCCTGCCCCCCCCTCCTCGTTGCCGTTGCGAGCCGGCAACGGCGGCACATCTCCGCTTTTTCGCCGCTTATGTCGCACCACCGGCGCCCTGCGACATCGCCGCGCTAACAAGCTGAGCCCCACCCCGCCAAGGATGAGCGACAGCACCACAAACAGGCTCCAGCCGGTGCTGATATTGATGTGCACGTACTCGAGCAACATCTTGCAGCCCACGAACCCCAGCACGAGCGCCACAGCGGGCTTGAGGTACGGCAGTTGGCTCACCGCTTGGGCGATGATCACGTAGATGCTCCGCAGCCCCATGATCGCGAATAAGTTGCTCGTGAATACGACGAAAGGGTCCTGAACACGGACGGCGGCAAGGAAAGAGAGGGGGGGCCAAAGACGGTACACGTTCTTCCGTTAATAAGACTGACGTGTTTTAATTGGTAGTACTGTGCTGCGCTAACTAACGCCACATGCCAAGTCACGATATCACACAGAAACAAGGCGTGCACATCAGCCAGTCACAAGAAGAAACAAAAAAGGGGCTCTTTAACATCTTTCTGGCGAAATATGCGTACGTGTCAACTACATTCCTGTTCCATGGCCCTTCCTTCTTGAGGGCTGGGTTTTAAAGCAAGGCCCTGCCGTACACCTGCTGGCTTCCTTTCTAGGCTCCTGGTCAACTATGGCCTTGTCGGCCTTGGTAGTTCTACCCGTAGAACCAGCTATGCATACAATACTCTAGACGTGGTATTGTGTGACATTCTTAGCCTACAGAAACGGGCAATACACTAGACGATAAGAGCCTCTCATCAAGGGGTAGGAGGAAGTTCAAACCACATCTGCCACGGAAAATTAGCTAGGAGAAGATCGATATGCCTCGCCTGCGAAATCCCGAGCACCGCTGGAATCGAGTCCACCGCAAACACGAAGTCCGACAGCTCGATGCACACCAAGCAGAGCAGGAGGGGAGTGGCAACCGTCTTCCCCTTGCCCCCAAGGCGGGTGAAGAACCGATCACCGTCGTATTCGTCGACAGCCCCGACGAGCCTCTTCGACATCCTGCCGAACAATAGCCCGAATAGGGGTGTATGTACGTCGTGTACACAGGTGTTGCGAGAGAGCTATGTTGCATACGAATGCATTGCCAGAGAGCTGTTGCACGACGGAGACGAGACCTTGTGACGGCTTTCGATTACGTGTCCAATAGGATACTCGTATCAACGCCGGCTGACGGACACCCATTGCAACGAGAGAAGGAACACCAACCGAGATGCACCGATGGGCACGAAGGTACGGAGTGAGGGGAGAAAGTCAAGCGTAGGGGCAACGATGGCTCACGCCACAACTCATGGACTTGCCCTGGCGTTGGTAATGTCTGAGTCAGAGTACTATGCCCGGGGTTGAGCTGGCCGTTTTCCACTGTCAGGAAGTAGTCGGTGCGCTAGGCAGACCTACTCAGGACGAAGGAAGAACCGAGGGGCTAAACGATACAAGGCGGCAGGTCAAGGCGCGCAACAGGCGCTGCCCGAGATGACCGACTGTAGAGGACAATGGCCACCCTTCGAGAGTTTGTTGACCAAGCGGTACGGTACGAAAAAAAATACGCGCACTTCTGGGTTGTGCCACAAGTTGCGGGCGCAATCTAATGCCACGCTTTGTACACAAACCGCGTGTGGTAGTAAATAGTAGTATGAGTAATAGAATATGGGGAGTAGTTAGTGCAAGAGCATGTGCGGTAGCACCCCACCTGACGAGCGTGTTTTGGCTGAGGTCGTGGTCTTCTTCCTCGCTTTCGACGAGGAGCTTGTAAGACGACACCAGCAGAATCGCGGCGAACACGACCGTGATCCACTGAAACCTCTTCACCGCCGCCACGCCGAACGCTATCATCACGCCTAAACACCACCGGCACAGGTCACGGCCGTTGTTTTCAAAATATTATACTCGAAGTAGTAGCCCTTATTGGCATACTTCGATGAGAAGTGTGATCAGGCTTTCGGTGTGAAAAAATACTGCTAGTCATGCTGGTGCACAAGATGTGGAGGAAAACGCCGTGCTTGAGAAACGCAAAGTTCTAATAGGAGTCTGCGCTGTAGTTGGCTCTTACAATAGACGTATTCTCACCTCGCATCAGGATGGCCCCAACGATGCCCCAAGTCAGGACTCGGCCTTGGTGCTCCAAAGGCACTTGGAAGTAGTCGAACGTCATCAAAAACACAAACAGGTTGTCCACGCTTCGCAACGGATAGGCGTTGTCGACATCATAAAACAGATTCCAGGAACCGGCAGGGGGGAGAGGGCAAGCACGGGTTTGGTTTTTGGGGAGGCGGTGTGATGACTCAAGTGGGCGGTGGGAGTAAATAGTATCCCGCTGACGAAAAAAGCTGCCGGCCACATGCATACGGAGGCCTAACCGAGCACGTTGGTACTCCAAGAGAACAATAGTCAAGTCCCAGTGACATTCTAATGCGCTGAAGATCGTCTACGTCGGCGTCTACTGTAGATGTGGTGTTCTGAGACCCGAGGCTATCTATCCTTCACTTCAACGTCTCTTCGCCTAAGAGCCATGAAATGGACGTCGCTCATGAGTTATGCTACTGCTGGAGACAGCATGTCCAATTGCACGATGGGCTTGCAGCAAGTAGACCGAAAAAATACGAGTAGCAAAGAGGAAACGATTCTGATTCCAGTCGGCGGTACCAATTAGGCAATTGGGCGGTGGCGCATCAGAGAGTTTCGCCCGCGAGGCAAAAGTAGCGTCACAACGTCACAACTCTGTTTGTGGGTTTCGTTGAAACCTGTTACTCTGTTGACAGACAATTACACATTGCATGTATCAAGGTGTGGTGTTGCTGCCGCTATGGTCGGCTACTTCAGGAGCCCTGAGCCTGAAAGATCATTTCTATACATACATCTATTACGTACTGCCATATTCTATCCTGCTGTCTAACGTAGAACGTCTAACGCGGGGTACGGGGTACGGCGTATGGCAGGAATAATTCCGCCGCATTTTATGTGTAGAGTTAGCAACGCGGAGTAGTAGGGACGTTACTTCCTGTTACTTCCGTACACCCGCCGGGCTCGCCCACCTCAGAGACTGCTCCACCAAGTAGCCAGCGAAGAACTCCAGACCCGACTGCCTCCCTCTGAACAACATCGTGGCGAGGCCGAAGCCGCAGCTCAACGCGATGGACATCACCGTGCGCTTCACCGCCATCCTGTAGGTCTTGCTCTGTTGAGGCATCGACCCGCCGTCGAGATTGTTGTGTACGGCCCGTCCCCCGTGGCTGCTCCCGCCAATGTCCGCAGCTGATGGCTCCGCTCCAAGGTCGACATCTGTTGCTCCCATGAGACTCTGCTGCCAGCCCAAGCTTGTGGAGTGCTCTAGCGGGTTGTACGCGTACGGCGCGCTCTTGACACAAGTAGCTCCGGATGATGAGCTGCCGAATGCCATATGAGCAGGTGCACACGCGCTGCTGCTGCTGCTCCGATTGTCTGCGACCATGCCTTGGTCCGGCGGCAGCGCGCTGCGAGCGCGAGGATAGGCGTTGCTCATCTTCGCCGCTGTTGCTCGCGGGAGCCAGGCGCGCACGTTGCCTGGCCTGGTGGGTGGCGTGTGGTAGGAATACCCCCCCCCCCCCCCGAAATCCAAAATCCGTCGTCTGACCATACATCCGCCGCCGTGGTTTTTATTTCTCCCCACGTGGTGTCGGTTTCCCGAAATTTTCTCGACCATGCATCATCGCATGTTTCACGACGCCGAGGTTGTAAATAGGTAGGTCGTTGTCGCTATCTTCGTATGAAAAGGGGTGTGTGCTTGTTATCTTACTTCTGTCGTCTTCACGTGTACAGTGAATAAAAACGGTCGGGCGGCCGCAAGTACCATTACTTTCGACATCCATCCTTGCCGGTCCAACTCACGCCCCGGCGCCTTTCCTTCTTTGTTGTTGCACAGGCATCAGTGTAGTTACTGTATTATAGTAGTCTAGCCCAAGTATGCACATATGCAAAAGAGGTACTACTACCAAAAAGACAAAGAAGAAAATTGTGTATGCATACAGCAAGTAGGTGCGTAATTTTATTCTGTGACTCGCAAGACTTGTTGTGAAAGTTAATTGCAGGTTATTATTGATACCATGGTACTTTTCTACAAGAGAACAGAAGAAAACAGATTATTTCCGTGTGCGTGCGTGTCAATGCATGCATCGTTGACATTAAACGAAACGGACAAGGGAGGTCACCCTCACCGCCAATAACCCGGCACCCTATCCTGCATCGTACGTGCCTCCCCCAGAACGTCGGTGTAAAACGTCTCAGCGCAAACAGTCTGGGTTAGGGCGGGGTTCCGAGCTAAAAGCAGGCACGTTTTCCTGATTGTTTCAGAAGCGGCAAGAAATGGGTATAAAGCTCTGAAAAAATGCACAAACTTTCGCTAGGTCATGGGGATCCCGAAAAATATAGGTACTTTTGTGTTACTTGGTCATCGTGGTGGCTAGGCATGCACGAATAAGTGGGTAAAATTGAAATTGAGGGAAAATCACATACATACGCGCCCCCCTCGAGGAAAATTCAATCCCTTCCAAATTGGATACGACATTCCTGACACGTTTCCGAAGTCAGAACTGAACAACAAACATTTGTGCACTACGTGCATCCCTTCAGAATGGCTTTCGACCAGCGAGAGCTTTTGCTTTTGAAAACAGACCGATTTCACATCCTCTTGCAGGCACGAGTGATTGCCTGACCAACTTTCTGAGTGGCTCTACCCCCCCTAACTCGGCCAAGCGGAAGCGATTGCCGCCGTCGATACCGAAAACAAGCAGCAGGAACATGGGAGAAAAAAATTTTGGGCATATTTTGTTGACGTTGTTTTCGACCGTTCAAAGCGAACTACGAAGTTTTCTGAGAATCCATGTATGCAGTGGCGGTGCCGGGTGTACCGCGGAACCCGCCTTAGACAACAAAAATAACAACACCATGGCCTCTCTGCCACCATTCGATGTACCAACCAATAAGAGACGACCTCCTTGCTCACAACAGTAAAAAGGTCCAACCACGCACACCTTTCTCGAAGGAAACGGACCTAGAAACGCAACAGCAAGGAGTACACAACCGAGCACATTCGCAGCAGTTGCGCGCTACTATGCAATGCGTTCTGCACACCTACAACGATCGATCGATGGTGATCCCGCACTCTTCCGCTGACGGAAGGAAAACAGCGGGACACACACAAGAACTTCACCCAACCAATTGATATCACCAAGGGATGAAGCTGTGCTCGCAAACAAATACCGCGTCACCCCCCACGGTTGCACCCTTGGCCTTGTGCTCCAGCAATCGCCGCTTGAGCTCCACGAAGCTCTCGGCTCCGGTGACGCTCGACAACACCTCCGGGATCAGGCGGGCAGGGCAGCCACTCAGGGCGGCTTGCGCCGCGCGGGCCGCTTCCCCCGACAGCGCCGGGGGCTCATCCAACCCGCTAAGCTGGAACAGGCCAGCGTTCGCCAACGTGTACGACACAGTCTCCATCGCGCCTCCCACTCCGCTGCCCCCCGCGGGCTCCAGGTACAGCTCCCAGAACACTGGGTGGGCGAGCTTACAGCGCGCGCGGGGCGGTATGGGCTTGGGTAGTCCGAGGGAAAACACCGGCGAGGACGACGGCGGCGGGCCAGCCACCGGTGGCCGCTGGAGCGTGGTCAGACCGCTAAGCGCCAGAGATCGCACCTGTCGCCACGGCGCCCCGTAGGACTGAGCCAGCGCGACGAGGTCCAGCGTGTCGGCGAGCGTGAGGAGACGGTCCAAGCGGCGGTCTCCCGCCGCGCTGCCGCCGGTGCCGGGAGCCGGCCTGTCCCCGGCGGCGGCGGCGGCGGCGGTGTCCGGCAGCGCGCGGTCGACGTCGGCCGCGAGGACGCCGGCGTACGCCTCGAGCCAGTGCAACAGGTCGCGCGTGACCTTGTGCACGCCCAGCTCCACGAACGCGCTCGCCAGGGAGTCCTCGTCCGCGAGCAAGGCGGACCCCCGCTCTCGCCACGCCTCGGCCTTGGCCTCGTCCCCGAGGCACCCGGACGTCCCGTCTTGGTACCTCGCCTCTCGCGCCATTGCGACGCCGTCTCGAATGTGGCAGCCGACGGCCGTCTTGCTGTCTCGGCTGATGACCGGGAACATCTGCCCCTCTCCGACGGCGTCAAAAGCCAACGCGACGGCCGACCGCACGCCTTCCACGTCTGTGGCGCGCGCGGCCAGCTCCCACAGCCTCTCAGAGAAGTCGAGGTCGCCTCTGACCTTCTCCGGCACCTCCTGCATGCCCGATCCGACCTCTTCCTCTCCCACGCCGCCGCCGTCGGTACGGTCTTGAACCGCAGTGTCCTCCTCAGCTCTACCCGCTTCCAGCGTGTCGTCGCTACCCCCGCCCCCGACCGGCACATCGACCGGCTTCGCCGCGAACTCCGCCATGTTCTCGGACCCGCTAAGCAACGCTTGGAGATCTTCATCCCACCGCCTCCGCTCCTGCTCCTCCCCGTCCCCAGAAGCACTGGCACCGCCAGGATGTGCTTCGGCGCGACCGGTGCCTCCTTTCTCGCCCCCAAACGGACCTTTCGCTTTCCGCCGTGCCTGCTGCGGCGCCGCCCCCCTCTCCACAGCCGTCTTGAGGGCCTCGATATTCCCCCGGATCTTGGCGCTCACCGTAGTCGGAGGGCACTCCCCGCCGATGAGAAGGAGGGAGGAGCACGCGGGAGGCGGAGCCGACCCAAGGGTCCGGGTGGCGTGGGTCGAGCAGTCCCACTCCGTGGCAAGACGGGCGAAGGGGTTCGACTTGGCGCCCTCTTGCAGGCACTCGCCGAGGAAGTCGCCGCTCGAGTCACCCCACAGGTCGTACAGCGCGCGAGCGGAGGCGTGCGCGCGGCCCCCGTACTCGCGCACCAAGTCGTCGATCCTGAGGGCCTGCGCCCGCCCCCCGGCCGCTTCCTGCTCGCTGTCTCGCCGGAAGGAGAACGAGCTGTGGCCCTCGGGCGTCGCCCTCTGCCCGAGAAAGCAGAGGCCGCCGGGGGCCCCGGACACCCCGGCGACGACCGTCGGCAGCGTCCGTGACTCGCCCCCGGCCGGCGGCGGGGTCAGCCCCGCCAGAATCATCCGAGCACGCGTCGCCGTGAACGCCCGCAGCAGGTTGCTGTCGACGACGGCGGAGTAGGAGGACGGGGAGATGGCCCGTAGGGTAGGGGCCACCCCCACGCCTCCCGCCGCCGCCGCTCTGCCTCCCGGCCCGGGGCTGTGGGTCGTGACCGAGGGCGGGCGCACCACGACGTGCTGAAGGGCGGAGCGCACGGCTGAGGCAGCCTCGCCGGCGGCGGGCGCTTTGGTCAAGCAGGAGAGGATGATGACATCGCTCTCGGACGCCATTCCCTGCTCCGCAACAGCGTGGGCAATGGGGGACGGTTAGGGCTGCAAAATGTTGACGTATCGTGATTAATATTGTACAGTTACGCTGAGCATGACCTCTAGGATACACAGAGTTTAAGTAGGGTCTAAATTTGCAGAGAGTCGACACTATAATAGCTATACTCGGTAGCCTTGGTGAGGTGCTGTTGGTTGTTTCAGTCGGAGATTGATGATGATGTGGATACAACGGTTACGGTACAGAGGCTTCGCATTTCGTTGTTCAGGAGACAAACTACTGCTACGTACGGCGCAGCAGCTTCAAGGACCCAATCTTCAAGCCTAGACTGAAAGCTGTAGCCCATTCGCAACCTTGTCCACGTCATCAATGCCACGTTCCGTTGCCTTCGAGAAACAGGCGGAAACGATTTACATACGTAGCCGTGGGTCTGCTTACGCGTTTTTCCACGTCACCAGTTGCCCCAGGAAACGCTTCGGTTCCCCGAGCTCGATTGCTCAAGTTCCCCCCCAAGACGAAGGGTGCCAACACCGAGCAACTTCTCCTGAAATATTGACAATTTGGGTTATGCTCGTCGTGCCGTGAAGATATCTACTACAAGTACAAGCGGCAAGGGGCAGGCGTAATAGCGAAAAACCCACGTCTTGCGAACGGAGGCTACGTACTTCGTACGCCAAAAGAAGTAGACCTGAATCGCAGAAGCGAGCATCACCCATGCAATACTTAAAGAAAGTGGTATGTTGGAGTTGGACTGGGAATACAGCATGGAGCATGGAGCATCAACAGAAAGGATCCGAAGGATATTGATTCTATTCTTCTCCCGTGTCCGCACAGTAAGCGGGGCGATTTCGTGCGAATGTCATGTTGAGAGTTTACAGAGTAGTCCAAGTTCTATGCACTGATTCGTTCGCAGGCACAAAAGCTGTAAACGCATGTTGGATGGTACCAGCGGCCGGAACCGTTGTCCACTGTCCAGCGCTGCATGTCGACGGCACGGCGGTGTACTTCACATCTACTGCTGCTGCTGCACGCGGAGGGTATCAAAAACCTAACGGTTTCTCGATTTCTCTGCCGCCCGCGTATCACCCCTTCAATTCTTCAAGCAGTACCTTCAACGCCTTGACAGGATGGTAAGTCTCTGGTCCCGCCCGTATGGCCACAACGTCCCCCGCGATAGCCACTTGCCCATCCCCCAACGCGCTGAGCACAGCAACGAGCGGCGCATCCTCGTCTGCAACCTCTTTCGAGGGGGATGGCTCACTGCTTACGGCGCCACTCGGCCGATGTACAGCTCGATTTGGGTCGAAGTTCTCGTCCATAGTGGTGCTCCTCGAGCTTTATCGTCTGCCTGTTTGTCTCTCTCAGCTCGACTTGCTTGAAGTCACTGCACCTCACGCACTACACTGCTGTGGAGCAGCTTCCTCGGTTTGGTAGTGTCTGGCGGGGGGGGGGTCCGTAAAATCAGAGGCCCCCCCTCGACAATAAATTGTCCAACGTCAAGAATAGTTGCCCCGCTTTGCGCTGCCACTCCCCGGCACTCCCCACGCACACACGCACACTGCACGTTTGCTCCCCGCAAAGGGACAACCATCTCCAACGGCACGGAGCTGTGACTTCTTGAGGCTGACTTGACACTCATGGATGGTCGCCATGAGCAAGGTCTCGTAGCGTGGGCAAACACGTTCAACTCTTCCTTCCCAGAAGGGGCAGCACCGGCAGCCTCTTTGGCGGACTTCACCAACGGCGACGCTCTCATCCCGATCGCCCGCACTATCTTAGGCGACGACCACGACGACCACGACAGTAATGGGCAAGCAACCGCTTCTGGGTGGGCCGGCGTCTTTTTGTATCTGCACTCGGCCGATTTGATCGAGGAAGATGTCCAAGTCCCCACCGAGGAAGACAGCAAGAGAGATATGGCAGTTACGTGTCTGGAGGCCTTGTTGCACCACACTTGCCAAGACAGCTGCGCCGGCCGGGCGACCTTCATCCGCCAAATCATGTCCCTCGACACCGACGTGCAGAGCGTTCTGAGGCATGTCGTGGCCGGCGAGGAGCCGTCGGACGAAGACGGCGACGCGAGCAGCTCCGAAGCCGGCTCCCCTTACAGGGATGACGGCGACGGCGGCGCCAGCAGCAGCTTCGCGGGATCCCCCGCTGCGAGCGCGGCGGCACACCTCTCTCCTTTAAGCGGCGGCAGCCGCAGGCGCCGCACTAGCATCACCACCAGCGGGTCGTCCTACGATAGCAGCCGCTCTGACGAAGAAGACGACCTGGGATTGAAAAGCTGGTACTCCCCCCACCCAAGGAGGAGCGCCCGCCGGAAGTCCAAGGTCTCGACAGGGGGCGGGACGGGGGAACGCGCGGCGCGGGTGGGGCCCAGGCCGCCGCGCGAGGGGCGCACCCTTGACATGGAAGAAGCCGAGGAAGCTCTTGTCGGAGCGACCGCAGCTTCTGCCACATCGTTAGCCCCTCCTGCGCCGCCTGCGAGTTGCGCGGCCGGCTGGACTGCTACTGCCGTGGAGGTGAGGGAAAACAGCCGCTGCTAATAGTGCCGATCTTTGGATGCGTTTGGGTATCAGTGTGTGTGTGTGTAGAATGCTTCTTTATTCCCGTTCCGTGCAACGTTGAATGGTACGGGCGTGAATGAGCGCATGCAAACACCGCGAAAGCCAACGGAACGCGCACCACCCCCTCGACAAAACACAACTGCAGGTTGTCGACCTCAAGGCCGAGGTGTCGCGACTCAAAGACCAGCTCGAACGCGCCGCCGCCGCCCGCGCGGAAGCGGTAACAGGCGTCAAAGCCCAGCGCGACGCTGCCGCCGAAAGGGAGGAAGAGCTGCGAGAGGACCTCTGGAAGGCCCGGCAGGCGGCAGAGAGGGTGACGATCTCCGAGGAGGACGCCGTGATCGCGGTGGAAAGGGAGATGCGAGCGGAGTTCGAGACGGAGATGGTCGCGCTGAAGGAGAGGGCTACCGAGGCCGAAGAGAGGGTGAGAGACCTGCATGGTACTGCTGTCGTTTTCGTGTGTCTCTTCTGACCCCTAGTCGCATGTCTGCCTCCTCTCTTTGTTCGAAGCGGGGGCGCCTGTATTCAGGGATGGTATGGCACACCCATGTATGTACCTCCTACGCGTTGGGAAGGCTTGTGTTGAGGCGTGCTCTGGGGTTGCCGAAACGCTTCAACCCTTATGTGACTACATGCACGATAGCAGTACGATAACTTTGTGTGCCGAAAGATCGCTGGCGTGCCTCGCCAAGCAGAAAAAACCCTGCGCCGTAAAGCCCAGCAGAGAGACAAGAGGCAGCCCACCACACAAGCACACACATGAGCAATGTGCGCAGGGGTACACGCAGTAATGTCTCTGATGTGGGGCAGATATGTCCTTTCTTTCCAGATCCAATCTACTGCCTACTGCTATATGATCCAAACGGAAAATACCACCGGAGGGTACATACTACATACAGCACCCGAACATGTGATCAACCCGGGGTCCCGCTTGCCCGATGGAGGGCAGAGATGACGTACACCGGAGCGGATACTAAAGTACTGCCTCGATGCCTGATGCGGTCATGACTGCGGAGTGTGTGGTCCAGAATAATGGGAGTGAAGGAGGTCCGTGTACTGTGTGCAATGTTCGCTCAAGAGAAAGGGTTTTCGGGACTACATGCACGGTAGCATGCACGATAACCCCTCCCTATCTTTAGGACGGAATTGTGTAATTTGTCATTATTTTTTTCAATTTTTGCGATAGTAATATCGTGGGGTCGATTTGCTGTGTGAGCCGGAAAAAAAAAGTCAAATCAACCCAGTCACGTAAGGGTTAACGATACCGAAACGGCAACACGCTTTACAGTGTTGTCCCGCCCCAAGCATGCCCCCGTACATCAGTGTTGGTAGTGCTCCATCTCGCCTGCCCTTTAGGCGCTGGCCCCTACGCCGTTCAAGGGGTTTCGCGACAGCCGGGCGGGTAGCGTATCCACGTACCCCGTCTTGCGTCCCGCTCCCCCCGCCCAGCCGTATCGCATGAACAGACATCGTCACAATAGCTCACAGGGAGCGTGAACATGATGCTTTTCTCGTCACCTGTGTTCGATCATCCACATAGTGGCCGTAGATGCGGGCCGCCACATGTCGATGCTGATTTACGTCACCCGAGAAGGAAACTTCTGTCTGATAAGTTTGTCGCGCCGTGTGGCGAGGTGGCCGTGGCGCCCTCGCTATCTCGAACTCGGCGCCGCTAGTTCATGCTGGCTGAAACTCCCCCCATCTAGAACTTTGGGGATTCCTAAGAACAGCAGTGGTTAGCCCTGACATGTGTGGTGGAATATGGCATCGTAGCCCAGCGTGGCGGCGACGATTCCCTGTTTCTTTTTTTTTCCTGAGGTAGTTGCAGGCACGACGCGAGCAGAATGTACTCACGCATTTCGCGCACAGCCACGGAACAGTCCCCCCTCGTATTGGCAAATGCACAAGAATCAACTATTTTAGCTTAGGATGAGAAGCAGCAGCCTTGTATGCCGCGAAGTGCGCGCACGATGCATGCGTGCGGTAAAACTGGAGTTTTCCCTCTGGTAACGCTTCGCCTCGCCGTTGTTTTCGGTTCGGTGTAGGCGTCGGCTTTGGAGTCGTTCGAGGAGGAGGTCCTGCGCTTGCGAGACGACGTGGACATCCTCAGGCCCGCGGAGGCCAAGCTTTCTAAGCTGGAGGACACCCTCTCAAGGTGAACGGGTGCTGTGGAAGGGTGGTGCTGGGTGTGCTTGAACGGATTTATGGTCGTGCGGTTGCTGTGAACGTTTAGCAGAAAGCAAAAGGTCAGTCGCGAAAAATTCTGCGCGGTTTCACGTTGGGTTGAAGGGTAAGGGTTCGTCTTGCAAAGATTTTTCCAGCAGCCGCAAAGCACAGGGCGATCTTGTTTGTTCTACACAGGGTGAGATGGTCAGCACCATGTCTAATGCAGCTATGATACTGTAGCATTGCCTTCTCGTACAGTCTAAAGGCATCCCTGGGTCAGCGAGGTCAAACCCTGCTATTTACTTTTCTGCTTCAGTGGATGCGTCGCTTTGTCGTACCTACCTTCCCATTTGCATGCCTACTCAAGTAGGTTCCCGTCGATCTGTTTGTTCTTTTTCTCTGACGACAATGTCGTGCCCTTCCTTCCGGGCGCACTGTGTGTATCGGCGGATGACACCTGCCACGAGGCTCCCAATGCACCATTCGATCGCTCTCGCGCCGCTTCGTTTCGACCGCTTTTGCTCGACGACAAAAATGAAAACAAGGTACCGCGAGAAGATCGAGGAGCTGAGTGGCTTGCCGGGCCAGCTCAAGAGAGAAGAGAAGGCGCACGCTGAGGTAAGCCAGCGTTCCATCGCCAGGAGCAAGGTTCAAGGTTGGCGTTGCCCAGCGGTCTGCTGCTGTTGGATTGTACCGTCTAGGCCGCGAATAGAAAGTTGTCATCTGCTGAAAATCATCGTGCTCAAAAAATCGTCAGCTGCTTGCGGCGCTGAGGCTCTGTCCAACTCGCTTCTCATGCCCACGGTCAGCATATTGTGGTCCCTGCTACGTACTGTACCGCCTGAAACGTCTTGTAGTACTTCGTAGACTTGGTCACCTCTCCGGGACTGTGTTTTTTTTCCCGGGGTTTTTTCCATGCCATCGCTGTAAATTGCGTCCTCTCGTTGTTTAGTTTCACCACCGGGGTACTCGCACGCACGTCCTAGTCAACCTACGGCTGGGTCTACCTCGTGCGTGGTGCTAGTATTGCTCTGCACGTGTTTTACCTCTCGGTCCTTCTACTCTCTCTTGAATGCGCTTCCACGCATGCTCTCCCGAACATTGCTTTTGACCTCTCCGGGCCACCGACTGGGCTGGCCTTGGCGTAGCCTCTCACTTTGTAATACACCCTCCACGCCATGCCACTGACTCTTTTGGTAAAACTCCGACCAGGTGCTCGATCGCTGCCTGAGACTAGAGACCGAAGTGACCCAGATCCCCCAGCTGAGGCGACAGGTGGGCCAATACCGCCGCTCCCAAACGGACATGGAGGTGGCAAGCCGCGAACAGGTGGGTTCTTAAGGGTGCGTGGCGTCGTCTTCCCCATCCTTCCCGTAGCCGCAGTCTAACATGTCTTGTGTGTGTGTTGTGTTGTGTGTGTTTGTGTTTGTGTGTGGGTTCGTCCCATCTACTCTGGCGCGAGTCTTGGGCAGGCCAACAGAACAGCGAGGCACCCCGACCATACCGTACCAGGTCTCTGAAGCAAGGCCTTTTCCTGACACTGGCACGTGCATGCACCACTACCCGCTCCAGGCCAAGTCGCCAGAGCTCACTGGAGATAGGACCGCGAGAAGCGATATGTGAAGAGAAGTCGTCCTCCAAGCTCTTTTTTCTGATGTTTGTCTTTCTGTGCAACGGCAGAAAATGTATGTGGCTATGCAAGAACAGTGTTATTATGCCGGGATTTTTTTGTTTATTATATTTTTCGACCTTTTCCGGCACCGCCGCCACTACAACCCACCACCGTCACGTATGAAGGCACCTCCGAGTAGCTATAGTCCTGACAAGTCCTTCCTGCAGAAGCAGAAGAAACGAAGGGAAACGAGGGCGTGCGGCGTTCTGGGCAGGGGAAACAACGTTGGAAAAACACCGACCCAGTAATCAGGCTTTTTTCCGATGTGGGACTTTTTCCCATATCATCCCCGGGCAAGCGGTTTGGCGCACTTACACCCATCTGGCGCCACCCCGGGTCTACGTGGGCTGCTGAAACAAGACCATTCAGTACTTACACATCCTACTAGACGCTGTATACCAGTTTTCCGCGATTGTTTCGCAGTCTGTGCTTGTTACGAGGGTCACACACCGCTGACTTGGAGACAGGTCTGGTTGAACAGACGGGGTATGACGCTGGGCCGTGCAACTTGAACCAAACGATGGCACACAAGCTGATGTCGTTGGCTTTCTGTAGCATCCACCACATCAGGTGTTCGTCGCTTGTGGGTGGAGATATCGACCAACATGAAAGGTGGATCTGGGCCCTCTTCCCGGTCTATTACCGAGAGAAACTGCTCCTGTTGCTCCGCAATCCGAACACATCAAAAGGGCGGCGGAGGGGAGGAAAAAAAAAAACGAAAACGATAGCGAGACAGAGAGGAGACAAGTTTGGGGCATAATATCAATTGACGTGGCAGGTCCGGCTACCGTAACAACGAAGAATCCTTGTGTCTCCCACCTGGTGCAGGCACCCTGTACGTGGTACCTGGTGTTCAAGCTCTGTGGCTGGGGACATCTACCAACAGCAACGTGCCAATCGAGGCGTGTAGTTTGGCCCTGTTGTTTGGTGATGGTTCGCAAGGCGTTCTGATTTTTGGGGACACCGGTCCAGGACAGCAACAAAAAAAAAAAATCCCGGCATAACAACACTGAGGAACGTTGGTGACGATAACTTAGACCCGATGATGCCCCCCCCCCCTTCCCATTACTGGGCCCCTATGCGTCCCGTTTTTGTCTGCCGCGATCTACGCGTTCTCCGAACAAACCTACGCAGTCGAGGGAGCTCGAGACGGCCCGGGAAGAATCGGCGCGGCTGTCGCAAGAGGTTAAAGATCTCAGGGAAAGTTATGAGACCGCGAGGGGCGAGCAGCGGAGGCTCCAGGAGAGGTGGAACACCAGGGACACGGAGGGGTCCGAGGATGAATGGGCCGGGGGGGGCATTGGGGAAGGTGGGGATCGGTTTCTTGGAGCAGAGCTGCTTGGTGGTGTTTTCGCAGGCCAGGCTGTCGTAAATAGGAGTTTTTTTTCGTCGCGGGAGTTGTGGCGCCTTTGGGACCGACGTTGGAATCGTGGGGGGTTACGTGCCCCCGCGGTTGTTGTCGTCACTGCTGGCAGTAGTAGTAGGGAGTGGTTCCGTCACGGATGCTATTCTATTCCCGCCATAGGACTGATTCAAGAATGTTGCCTTCGCATGTCCAAACTGTTTCTATAGAGGTCAATCAAAGTTTCGTGTGTTTATTGTCGATGACTTGTTGGAGCATACGTAGCAAGCCGCCGGTCGTGGATTTGGAAATGGGGCCGAGAGTGATGGATGTTGTGTGCATAGTCTTCGTGGGTTCGCGGACACGACTGCGCTAGGGTAAGATTTCGACACGACCGGACGTACTCGTAGCTTGTCGTGGATGGTGCGGTGCGATTCATGGCGTTCTCTCTGCCGATCCTGAAACAGGTATCTCGGAGTTTAACCCGGAGCTGATGGAGGAAATGGCAAGGCTTCGACTTGCTAACGAGCAGCTGACGGCTAAGGTGTGTACAATGCACTGACACGGCTCCGGCTGACAAAAAGTACCATTCTAGTGCCAGGCCGATGACGGTCCAGCTTCTCGCTGTACCCCTTTCACATGGGTTTGCTTCGGTGTTGCTGTTGTCCGGTTGGCTTGTGTTGATAGGAGCTAGGTTAAGGACGAGCGCCGAAGCAACGCCAAGGTTGCACGCGTAATTGATTCGATGCTCGAGTCATTTTCTCTCCCTCTTCTTTGCTGGATCGGTCGACAACACCCGACCCTCTTGCGCCCCCCACCCCGCCCACATAGCCACCGCCTGCACGACTAAATACTCCTCTACAACTCCTCTACGCCCCCCCACCCCCCACAACA